CAAAGGGATTCATTAACCACATTTCTGCACTGAGCCTTAGCCCATGTTTGAGCACTAAGCTGAGCTACAGCAGTGCAGTTGCACGAAAGACAAGGAAAGCAGCAAATATAAATCCTAAAATAAGGTGACCTTTTATAAAGCCATTTGGATCTACTTTGCTATGAAAGCACACCAACACTGTTCTATGGTCTAAAATCAGATTTCCTTTGCACATATAAAATTTAAAAGTATGATTTTATATTAGCTTTTTGGTTTCAATCTGATTACCTCTTCATTTACCTTCTGATTACCTTCATTTTCTATTCCTTGTAGAAAAGGCTAAGCAAAAGTTTGTAACACTTTCACTTTCATAATCTTCTGGAACTGAGTTACAGTAGACTAATTGAGAAATAAGCTTTCTTAACAGTAAGCATGGTAAATTACCCTTTTTCAATTAAACTAACGTTTATCTCCTAAAAATACCCATATCATAAACTGAACATAACTGAAAGAACAGGCTTATGGCCTGATGAAGGTCGAATGCAACAAACGTCACATTTCTTACCCTAATTTTTACTACTCACCTTGCTGAATCCAAGTTTCCAGGGCTCATTGTTTAATATATCATCCAATGTTGTGAGAATGCCATCTTGGAAATGTTCTCTCACAACATGTGCATCACCGTTATTTTCATTCTCTTTTTGCCAACACACCTTCTCCAAAACGCAGCAAAAATGGCGCGGCAGAAGAACTGGCAAATACTCCATGATCTTTGGAAAATTCATAGCTACCAGTACGGCTTTTCCTGCAACTGTATGCACCATAAACCAATAAAGTTTTAAACAATATACAAATCCATTTATAGAGACAATTTAAATAGACTTTGGCTTCTCCCTCTTCCATATCCCAAGCATCCCTAGTATCTTTCAGCTTCTTATTCTTTGTAATTCTTTTAAAGATAGTTTTAAATGAACCCTGAACTGCCTTGAAGGAAAAACAAATGCAAATAAGCGACAGATAAAACCTGCAACTAAAATGCTCTCTTGGAAAATAGTTATTATAAATGTGTTTTAAACTGCATCAGTTCATCCTAGTTGGGTCCCACAGACTAAATGGCATTAGTGGTATATTAGGTCTGCTACTGATACACATCTTGTGGTTATAGCTTTGTTCAGACAGAATCCAGCCCATAGGAGCTGGCTACACCATTTGTGAATGCCACCTGCCCCAAAAGGCCACATTGCCATGTTCATGTGCTGAACCCATTAACGAGCCTTCGCTGCATTGCAATAAATCACACAGGGCCAACATCCGTGTCTTTGCATCTGTAGCACAGGTAATTCTAGTCAGTAAACCCACAGATTTAGTCAGATCTAGTCAGTAAACCCATAGTCTTTACACACGTGCATTGGCAACTGTACGCACTCCTTTTCTTTACACATGTGCATTGGCAACTGTACGCACTCCTTTAATGGGTTAGCAATCCCCTGCAGCCCTCAAATTTAAAAAATATGCAAGAATCTTTGCATATTAAAAATTCATTTAACTACACAGAGACATGTTAGCCTGAGCATAGTATCTTAAAAAATAGAAATGAACTTATAAAACTATCAAAATAGCACACAATATACCTACAAGATTTCAAAACATACTGAAAGACATCAAAATTCTTGGTATCTCCTTGCTTCTTTGCTAAATACGATGCTTGGAACTGTTTCAGTTTCTCTTCAAGTTTTGTAAAACTCAGCAAAGGCTGCTCAGGAAGCCAAGTAAAAAACTCTTGTTTAAAAACATCAGGAACACCACATTCGTTCAGGAATAGCGAAAAGACATGGTGGTTGTTTTCCTCTATATTAGTCCGCAGAAAATATGATGGAAATCCTTGCACAAAATACTTGGCGCCTATTTTTTTAACTTTAACATGAACTGTCCACCAAGGGCCCATGATCGGAAAACGTCCAACTACTTCATACTCCTTTTTGGTTTCTTCCTCTTGTATAATAACTGAAATTCAAAAAGAAGAATAAACCATTGTTACTGCTAAATGGAAAAGGCAGAAAGGGCAGTTTGATTGAAATATTTTGGATGTTCAAGCTTATTTTTATGATTTGTATTATAAGCTATATTAAGAGTAAAAAGGCGGTAACAGTTTCCAATAATAATTTTAAGGAACAAACCATGTATATACATACATGTATATATGTAAACGTGAATGCTTCTAGTAAGTTTTAAAATATACAAAGCCCTTTGTATGCAACTCACTCAAACAGGGAAACACCTATGATTTCCTTATTTTTCAATGCAGCAGAAATCCTACCCTCTGAGCAAGATCTACCACCAGCTTCAGGGCGTTTGGCCCTTGTATGAACTCAAGTGGGGCTGCCCATAAATCCCATCACTGGGAAGGCCCCAATTAACTTTACTGAAGACTCGACATAAAATAATAACAATAATAATA